ATATATATATATATATATATATATTCCTTTTTCTAATAAGACTACTCACAAGCTGCAAGCACATAGAACTATACTGATATTGTTTGGTAACTGTATTGAACTTGTCGTGATATATTTTCCTTTAGCTATATTAGTACAATATTAGAAAGCATGTATTTTTTAATTAAGCAGTGTGATCTGACGACAAGATTCTAACTTTAACTTATTTTTTTTAGCTTTTAATTTTTTGTTCTATTTTAAAAAAAAGTTTGATATTTTAAAAAAATTATTTAGGAGTTATTTTTATTTTCTCTTTAAAAATATTTTTGTTTACTTGTTTTCCTTGCATTTTTATTGCATATATATACAAACGTAATAGACAAGTGTGCAGGAGTAATATATGCGAAAATAAATTTATATCTTCGAAATACATATATGTTGAAAAATGCGCATTCCATATATTTAAAAGTAGTTTTGTAATAATATTCTCAAGCTACAAGTTAAAATTCAATAAGGATGTCTTGGACAGAAAAATACCTTTCTTTTTCCGTTATTTTCCTTCTTTCTCCAAATTTCTGTCTCACTTCACTGATTTTACTTCATTTCATTCGTAAACTTCAAAAAAGCAATCACGTCTCAGAAAAACAACGTTTGAAATTCAGAAAAGAAAGTTTATATACCCCCGCCTTTGAAATTTTATTTTTCAGTTCAATTCCATGGGCTTAATGATAGATTTTTTTACACATAAAAACAAACATATAAATTTGTTACTTCACTATAGAATGCATGCCTCGGTAATTATTTAAAGGATATTCTATAATGACCTCTCCTGAAATCGAATTTTTATATTCTGTTCGAAAATGAAATGAAAGAATTCGACACAATAAAAGAGATCATTAAACCAGGAAAAAAACGCTACTGAAATGTATTAAATCACTATAGTATCTTAAATTTTGAGAACATATTAAAAACCAGATTATAAAACCTGAGGTATTTCTCGCAAAGTTCTTTCTATTTCTTCTGTAAATAAAACAGGTTTTGATGGTTTTAGTAGCGCCTTCTTCAGTAGTGATACGTTAGATTGCGATAGTGTTTTCGAGTGTAATTCAATAATTAAATATTTATTTGTGACCCTATGTGAATATATATTTTTAATATCATTCTTGACTAGGTTACTGAAAATACACGGTGAATACACGGTAATGTAATACACGGTGAAAGAAATTCTGGTTGAGACTACTGTAAAGACGATTATGGTAAAAAAAAATCTCTTTCTGTACAGAAATTTGCAATTTACGGTATTTACGCAATTCTTATTGTGACGGTTTCCGTTCATATAATAATGACTTATCGGAAATTTTGGTTTCCAAAATTATAGTTCTTATTACCACATATTTAGTAAAAATACAAAACCGAAACGCAAATTTCTCCGAATAAATGATTTTTATACCATGCTCTAAGGCAGTGATTCTCAACCTTTTTGTGGCGGCACACTTTTAACGATTTCGAAATTTGACGGCACACAATGAAAAAAAGTTAGGTTAAAACTTGTTTACTTAACTATAATACACTGTGTTAAATAGTTTGTGATAATAATTTTGAATGTGAAATAAAATAATATGTACTACCAAGGCACGTTTATCAAGAGATTAATTATTTCTTTCGATTTATTTTCTATTAATCTCTAAAGAATTCTAATCAATTTCTAAAGAAAAATGATGAGTATATTTCACGCATTCAATTTTAAATTTTTGTTAAATTGATTCTAATTTATGAATCTTAAAAAAATTATAATTAATCATTAATTAATGATATAATTAATGATATAATTAATCATTAATTAATGATATAATTAATCATTAGTTAATGATATAATTAATCATTAATTGATGATATAAATAATTATAATTAATCAAATAATATATTTGTAATCCAAATTTTACGTTTGAAACTTGAGATCATTCATAAGGACTCTAACTAGCCATCAAAAATTATTTTCTAAAAATTAGTTTTTTTCTCTGTAAAATCATTCAAAAATACACTCTATGATAGATAATGAAAGTCCAGATATGAATATATGAAAAGATTCTGATAATTCTCACATTGTCAATGCTAAATTAACTTCATCTCCTTGCATCGGAGGTGATTTAAACCATAACTGAAAAGAAAAGTCAGACAAAATTTTTTCATATAATCCAACAGTCATTCCAATAATCGTTGAACATTTCAGTTTTACAACAATAATATTTATTTGTAAATGTGGCAGGATAATTAAATCCACATCATTTTTGAGAAAATAGAAATCATCAATTATTTTCTGACAATTTACAGTAATACATTACTTCAGTGTCATGTAAAGCCATTCGAAAATCCACACTATGACCGATAATGAAAGTCCGAAAATCAATATACTAAAAGCTTCTGACAATTCCCACATCGTCAGTGTTAAATTAACTTCATCTTCCTGCATCAGAGGTGATTTAAGTCTTAACCGAAAGGAAAAGTCAGACACAATTTTTTCATACAGTCCAGCAGCTAACAATCGTTGAACAAACATGTCAATTTCACTTTTGCAACAGAAATCTTTCTTTGCGAATATGGCAACGTAATTAAAACCAAAGTTCTCTTTAGAAAACAGAAGTTTGGTGGGCCATCTAGTTTTTACATAAAAATCAGTTGTTATAAAAGCATAACCATCTTCCATCATGGCCTTTTTTATTTTTGCGTCTGAAGGTTCTATCTCCCAATCATTATCACGACTCATCTCTCCTAAGTATCGAGCAGAACTTATTTTACTATCAAGTAAGTATTGCAAAACAAACGAACCCCTCGGCATCGTGGTCTTAATCTCTCCCTTTTTAACTGTTTCTGCTAATTGAGATATTGTTTCAATACCGTACAACTTGGGAGGTACGGCAAGAACTGATAAAATTACTGAATTGTACCCCATTGAAAGCAAAAACACGCCAACATAAAACGTCAGCAAAAGGAACCTATCCGTAGAGGCAAAGACTCGTTTATACTGAGCGTACTGATGCAGAAGCAATTTCACAGAATTGAATGCATGGACTTGCCAAGAAATGCGTCTTTTAAGCAGCAAGCGTAACACAACTGGCATTAAAATGAAAAACGCCAAAACTATAAACCACAAACTTGTTGTAAATGGATGTAGGTAGGCCATTTTCGTAGCGTGAACTGTGGGTAATTTGGTAGCAAATATTATGTTTTGAAAATGGTAGGGAAATGAGGCCCATGCGACTTCAGCTCTTTCATATGTGATTGTTATCCGGCTCATTGCTAAATCAGCTTCATCTCTTTGTAACATGCCAACAGCTCCGGACCAGCTTCCATTTCCTAGTGGAGCACCCCATTGCTCGTCCCGTGGCATTACTATACGAAATTTGTAGTTTAAGGCTTTAGATAGGAGAATCAAAACTTTGTTTTCGTAACCGTCTATGTGTATAAAGTTACCATCTTCATCCCTTTTGACTTCGAAAATGCTGAATTTGGGCACGACAGCAAATCTGAAAGTTCTCGGTACAGACATCTTCAATTTTCTTTATTTGATATTTTATAGTTCTATTGTAAATAATTATCTAGATTCACTGTTCCTGTTATGAAAATACGATTCGAAAATAAAAGCTTTGAATCTTTTAACAAGAGCTCATTTCGAAATATATTTCAAAATTTTTTACCGGAATCGAAAGTTTTTAACAAAGACGTTTGCAAATCTTTCGAGTTTATGCAATGCGTTCCATTTCCGTTTTAGGTCAAAAAGTACTTTAAGGGTGCAAAAAAGCATTTAAACATGTAATTAAATGTAGTGCTTATTTTTATGTTTCTAAAGCGTTTCGTTGACTAATACATTAGGAAAAAATTCGAGTGATAAGTAATATATTTTCCTAAATTGTGTGATTAAGATTATTAACTGGATAAGATTATTATTTATTCCATTTGCTAAGGGCAAAAAAAATATTGTTACAATTTTAATCATATTAAGTGGGATTTTTTGTTTTAAAAAATGCTCATTTTCTTGTACTAATACGATTCAAGTAGTAAACACTTGTCTTACACTCACGCACTTAATCTAAAAGACTTTTTGTAAACAAAAATCAAAGTTATTTAAGTTCCCCTAAATAAAAGGTAAATAGCTGTCATGCTATTTTCTTGTTTACTGTTCAGCTTTTGAAATCAGAAAGTTACATTTTCTTTGTTGCTGACATAATTGTAAAGCTCCACTCTAAGCATGATTACAAAAGAATCAATATTTTTTGTTTAACAAAAGGTGTTTTGATTGTAAGTAACTCTACGACAAAAAAATTATGAAAATAGAAGATATATATTGTATTATTATTATTATATTTTAATTCAAATTTGTTTTGTAACAGTTACAATTTGTGCAAAAATAACATCCAAGATATCGATATCTAATACATTCATTTTAACTAAGTCAGATTTAAAAAAAAAGCAGATTCTACTACTTTTTTTTGCCCACCCTGAAACTGTTTTGTTCTTGGATTGCTTCGCAATTCAAACTCGCTTTGCTCGCTCATTGCTTTACTTGCATATTCTAGTTTATCTTCGTAACAGTTCTTTTTACAGGAAAGTTCTAAAAATATAATGTAGTATAAACCGTAATTTATTATCATATACAATAAAAATATATTCCGTTTCTGAGGACGGTAAAAACAATCCTACAACCACAGTACCTATATTAATATACAAGGAACCAATAGAACCTGTTACAATAACTAATTAAGCAACATTGACTTTAACTATTTTTTTGCAGTTTTTTTTATTTTTTCATTTATTTATTTATTTATTTATTTATTTAATTTTACGGTTTTAAAAACGGATAAGTACTAACATTTATTTCGTAAAAATTTATAAAACCAAATAATAAAAAACGAAAATGAAGAAAAAGAGCATTGAAACAAAAACATTGATTTTAGTTTGATTAGAATTTAAGCTAAGCCATGTCATAATTAGCACAAAATTGGGCTTTTCTGAAAATTTGCGCACACAATTATAAATTTATGAGTCATTATCAGAAAGTATATATAACTAAATTAAATAATGAATTAAAGGATCTCATCCCAGAATGAAGTTGTATAAAGCCTCATTTATGGTAATTGTAAAAGCATGTTTATATAAAAAATAATTTATACTTAAATTAGTTATTGGTTTTTTCTTTTGTGTATGCTTTTAATTTGTTTAAGTTTCCGTTTATTAGATATTGTTTTAAATTTCATACTTATGACAGATCGCTCACTTAATATTTCAATCTTCAGTTCTTCGTTGCCAACTGGAAAAGAAATTTTATTCGTTTTTAACAATGAAAGAGAGAAGGATCGAGTGTGGACATGGGTCTTGAGTAGACAAATAGAATATTTTTGTTCTTTAACACTCAAAAATTTCCTGTTACTGCGTTACACTTACCTATGTAGTTACAAAATTGCGAAACACTAGATTGTTTAGTAGAAAATTAAAAAACAAGGTTTTTATGGTGGAAAAGTAAATATTGAACTTGCAAGATTGTTAACTTTAATTACAATTCAAAACTATTTATATTCATTGTTTTAACAGGAGATATATATTATGAATGAATATGCTTAGTTGCATTCGATTTGCCTTTCTACCGACAGAAATGAGTTTAAAGGAATAGCCATAGTTTTTCTTACAGTTGTATTTTCTTTGCAAAGTAACTTATGGCAGTGCACTGTTAGAAATTTCTCAGAAAAAACTGTTAAATAATAATTTATTTAGATGTTAATTTACCATATTCAAACAAAGCAGTCAAATGATCGTAAATAACATGGTATTGAAGTTTTTAACTGTTAGAAAAACCGTTTATTGACTAATTCACCATATACGGTTAAAAATCCAGAATTTTATCGCTCAAACTAGGCCCACCCAATGAAACAACTTAGTTCCTTATAGCTGCGTATATATTATATCCGAAAGGACTAATCTGTCAATCTCACAACCGACAGAACGGAGATTTGGGTCCCAACGTTGACACCACAATATTTCCTCCATTCCCTTTAACACATGAAGAGTGTTCTGCACTTCCCAATTTGTGACCCTAAACTATTAAAATACGATAATTTCATTCCCTCATATATGGCTGCATCATCTTAGCTCAAAAAAGTATAGTATTTCTAATTTCTTACGATTAGTGAAACAACGAGATAAACAAACCACAATTTAAGCACAACCTAACTCCAATGCTCATAAAAATAAAGAACGTCTAGCTCCAATATCCAGTTAAATTTCTTTTTTACAGCTTTGAAACTATACTGATTGTAAGTTGTTAAGCAAAAACCGTAGAGTTTTTAATTCATGGTTTTATAACCATGTTACTTGTAAACGGTTTCAAAACAGTAAAAGTAAAAAGTGTTCTTTACTGTAAACTTTATGGTTATTTTGATTGGCAGACTGCTGCTAGTTATTTTATCGTAATTTTAGAATGAAAGCTCTAACAGTGTGTTCACAAATTTATTAAATGATCGAACTTAGATGTATTTTCACTATTCGCGATCGCAACGAACTATAGGGGGCGTTGTTGTATGAGACGCATACCTGCGATTTCTATATGAACCGTCATACAGTTACTCTGNTATTAAATACACCTTGTGCGCCACCTAGGTTACCAAATCTAGAACCCGACACTCGAAATTTTGGTTCTGTTACAATCGTACCCTGTTACAATTGACCCCATTCTCCCCTACTCAAAACTTATATAATTTAGAAATTTGAAATTACTGTGGTGTGTAGAAAGGTAATCGAGAACTACGTAGAAATAACGAAAAATTAACATTCGATAATTTGTTCGAAAATTATTAGCTGTTTAACTAGTAGGAAAAAATACCATGCGGGCCGCTCTACAGGTCGCAAAAATGCAACTACAGAATTAAAATTTGGCATGCTGTTTTTTTATTCTTTTGAAATTTTAATTCATTTGAAAGTTATAATAATATTAAGTGTTTTTTTACGTTACATTTAGCTTTGCTGCTCGAAACCTATGAGACATAGAAATTTGAAATTACGAAGATAAGTAGAAAAATGTACAAGGAGTTCGATGGAATAAAAAAAATTGTGATTCGGTTATTCGTTCGAGAATAATAACTGTTAAACTTGTAGTTCGCTGAATCTTGGTCTACTGATTGCTGATATGCAACTAGAGTTTTCGCTGATTCGGTGCGCTTATAGGAACATTTTTATCCATTGGTAAAATGGATCTTGCTTTGGGTTCTATGGCGTATGCACTTTATTTTGACGTCATCACACTTTTCAACTGTGTTCAGGAGTAATAGTAAACAGTGCATTTTCATTGAATGCGTTGCTATGGCGACAGCTGCTGCTTGATATTTTTCTTAGAATTATTTTATTTTACTTTCACCAGCAGTCATACTTAATGTATTTACATAATAATAATTTAAAGTATTTTTATATTCTTTTTATTATTAACTTATCTTGAAACGCGTATCTTGAAACGCGATCTTGAAACGCGTATATATTCAGGATTTGAAACTAATCCGAAGATGAACATCAATTGAGACAGTTTTTGCAACCCATAATTTGAAATGTTGCGTCGTTTATCGTAGTCAAACTAGAAAATGTTGCGTCGTTTATCGCAGTCAAACTAGAAAATGTTGCGTCGTTTATCGAAGTCAAACTAGAAAAAAAAAAAGCATTTGACCAATGGGTAACCAGTGATTGTAATAAAGCCATCATGATTATTTTATTATTTTTATTATTTTAGCGATAGTTTTTTTTTCTTCATATTTTCCATTTATTCCATAACTATTACAAGTTTAAGTGTTTTTTCGTGATCTTTTTCAGATTGTTTCGCTTTCAATATTGACAGTTTATCTGTTGATGTAAAAAGCACATTTTTCCATTGGCGAGATCTTTATTTTATATAAGCTCGCGCTCGAGAAAAGGACGAAGCAAAAGAGAGGGAGATTGTATGTTGTCGGACATGAATCTTAACATTCATAGTTAAATTTTTGAAAATAAAGATAAAAAACTTAACAATAATAATCGTCAAACAGGACCAAAATCTTTTCCAATTTGAATTCTTGTAATTCCCTTCAACAAGTGGAATTACTTCTCATTTAATTCTTCTTATTGAATTTCGCAATCTGTATTCCTTGGGTAATTTTTTCTCCAAGTGCTTTTCCAATCTAGGCAATCTTTCATTACGATAAACAAAATGATCTTACATGAAGCTAAAATAATTGTATATTTTGTTATTGTTTGTGTAATTGTTTCTTTTTGTTTTGTTACGCCTATCGTATAAATGTTCTGTGATTTTGTTGAAAATTTTAATGTTTAAGAAGAAATAAACAAGCATGAATCAGATTAACCGAGGGAGGTTTTCGTGGTTCGCAAAGGTGGGATAGTTCCATCAAAAATTCACTTCCATCTTCTCTCAATACTTGATCCAGGAACTTCCTTGTCCTCTGGAAAGAGTTCAAAATTGCTGGACTATAGAGTTGAACATAGGTTGACGTAAATTCAAAATTGGGTCAGCTGTTCAATGACGGCGGTAATAAAATAAACGACAGTAAGAAAAGTTAGGTTATATTATTTATAAACATTAAACTGATGTAAGATTTCCGAATATTCTGTGTTAATTTAAGAAGAATGCTGTGAGAGTTTCTGATTAGTAAGATGGAGCCGAGCAAAGATTTAAAGCAATTGTGCTGTTTCTCTTATTCAGAAATCAGAACAAATTCTCCTAAAATGTACTAAAACTTCCCAACCAAATCTATTACAGCACTTTTTAAAAAAAAAATATTATTTTTTAGATGATATTATAAGCGATGCTGTTTCATATTTGTTTGATAAACTATAGTTCGTTCACCAGGAGTTGACACTTGGCTCCACCTCCTCGGACGCTGAGTTCATTTCAGCACGAGAGTAAGAGGAGAAATATTTCCGCGCTTGAAATTGAGACAACCCTTAATGCGTGCCGAACGCAAACAGTGAATTCTACTATATCTTTCGTTACTCTAGCTAATTAAATATATTTTAAATTTAAAAACTACTATTTTCTCAGCAAAATGTCTCGAAAAGGACAAACTATTCACTCAAAAGAGAGAAATGTCAAATTTGTGAAATATTTAATGTTAAGAAAATGCACATTAAGATTGCGAAATAAATATTTTTGTCATACGACAGCCATATAGCAACCTTGTTCAAGATTGTTCGCGTCCTTCTCTCAAAAATAGCGAAATAGTATAGTCGGATATCACGTGATGTTAGTGGAGTCAAGTGCCAACTCCTGGCGAACGAACTATATCCATGATAATCGATCAGCGTTACAATACAATTTCCCCTTTTATATACAGTGATGGAACGTGCACCTAAAAAAGCAAAAATCAATTAACATTTAATTCAATATAATTCAGTTCTCCAATCGTAAAAACTACCATAAAACAACATTAACAATGCATGTTTAAAATAGATTTTTAGACCTAACTGTAATTTTACACTTAATAGTAAACTGAAAGACATAAGTTATGATATTTTGCTTATTTCTTTTGATTAATTTTTGCTCTCTTGAGAATATTTTGCTTTTTGAGTAATTTAACATTTTTAGGCCCATGTTACGTCACTAAGAAATACGAAACTGCGGCGGAGAGTGATATATATATATAATGTTCCGTAAGCGAGAAGTCTGACTCGTTGTCAGTCGTAAACGTATCACGAAACTGAGAGGCCGCGGTGGCCGTGAGTAAGTAATCGTTCCAAAGCAGCACGAACCTTGATGTTGTAGAGCCAAGCCATTTGTATGTAGAATCCACGCTGTAACCACCATGGAAAAGGGTATACAACCTAGTCCAGGGAGAGTTAGGAAGCTTTATATATATATAGGCCACCGCAATGATCGATCATACCATACATTCAGTTTCTCAAAAGTTTNATATATAATGCCTGCCACATAAATTGTTTGCTACACCGATCGTTAAAATAGATGTTTAAATTGTTAGAAACAGAGCCGCAATGGCTCAGTGGTTAAGGCATTGAAATGTCATTGTGAAGAACTGGGGTTCGTTTCTCAATGGCGGTATAAAGCCCACCTCGCTGCAGAGCGATGGGTACCAGCTTGTCTGGCAAGTAAATACGGTCTGTGTGCAATGCTGACCACATTGTCTCAATCATGCCGTTGGTCATGAAATTGTGGAATTTTAACCTTCATGACGAACTGGCCCACTCGGGCTGTTCTTTTACTTATATTGTTAGAAATATGTAAGTGAACTTTAAGCAAATAAAACATAAGTATAAATAAATTTAATTTGTTATAGTTGTGTTTATAAAAAATATTCATTTCTTTTAAACGCAGTTATTTTTCTTTACACAAATATATTTCTTTACATAGTCCGAAAACCAAACTTTTCAAAGAGTAATTCACATATCCATACAATGAATGAAACCGAAAGTCCAATACCTAAGACAATAAATGCTTCTGACAATTTCCAAAAAGTCAAAGTCATTATATCATTATCATTTCTGTTAACAGAAGACTGCTGTTTAAGCTGTAAACGGAAGGAAAAGTCACCCATTATTTTGTTATAAATTCCTGCCGCAAATAAACGTTGAACAAACATATCAAGTTCACTCTTACAGCAAAAGTTCTTGTTAGCAAATATAGCAACATACATAAATCCAAAACTCTCTTTTGAAAATAAAAGTTGAGGCCCCCAACGTGATTTAACGTAATAATCTGGCGTTACGAAAGCGTCACCGTCATCAAAAAGAACCTTTCTGGTCATAGCATCGTTAGCAGCGACTTCCCAGGCATTAGCTTTAGCTGTTTCACCAATATATCGAACTGAATCAATATTGCTACTTAATAGGTACTGCACAATAAATGAACCTTTCGTGGCGAAAGCTTTGATGGCTCCGTTTTCAACTGCCTTCGCCAACTGCGAAATCGTCTCTAATCCAGGCTGTTTTGGTGGAACAGTCAAAACGGACAAAATAACAGAGTTGTAGCCCATGGAAAGTATAGTAGATCCGGCAATAAACGAAAAAATAAGAAGCCTGCCACCGTAGTCGGAAACTTTTGAGTAATCCGGTGACTGGTGCAGAACAAGTTGCACGACATTGAAGACATTATCCTGCCATGGATATCTGTATTTAAGAAGAAACCGGCAGAGAACAGGCATTAAAATATAAACAGCCAAGACGATAAACCACAGTTTAGGATCGAAAGGATAAAGGAATGACATTTTTGTAGAAGTTACACTCGGTAGCCTGGTAACAAACACAATATTTTGAAAATCGTATGGAAAAGAAGGCCATCCAACTTGGGCTCTTTCATACGTGATGGTTATTCTGGATAAAGCTAAATCAGCTTCATTTCGTTGCAGCATGCCCATAGCTCCGGTCCAGTTGCCATTCCCTAATTCCGATCCCCATTGCTCGTCTTCAGGAATAACGACTTGTAGTTTGCAATTCAAAGCTCGAGATAAAAGGGGCAGAACTTTGCTTTCATATCCACCTATTTCTAAAATAGTTCCATTGGCATCTCGTTTAGCGTCAAAAATATTAAACTTCGGAATAACAGCTATTTTGATATCTTTCACAGAAGACATTTTTTCAAAAAATAGCTCTTTCAGTATTCAAACTTATTTACGATTTTTATCTCGCAAAAAAATAGCTTTTTAAAGATATTCAAATAAACAAAACACTTTTACACCGACGCATTTTTGCATGGAAACCCCATCAATCAAAGTAATGTCCAAGTATTTACAAATAAGAAAATTTGCAAAACGAATATGGATAAAGAGGGGATTGCGTATTTACATTGGATTTGTTTGTTATATAATAAGTAATAGTTGGACAGTGATTAAAGTAATAGTAAATAAATTTTAATTGCTATCATCTCGTGAATTTCGTACGCAATATTTTGAAAATGAGTAATCGTAACAAGATCATTAAACATGCAGTTAGCGTAATTAACTTAATGGACTTTTCGAAACAAAATTTCGGTAAATAATCTTTTCAGCTCCTACTGCTGATTTTCGTTTTTAAAAAAAAAGTTAACTTTGCTTCATGCGTTCTGTAAATATTTACGCTTTTATTGTAAATATATTCCTTTAGAAACAAATGCACTCACTAAAATAGCAAACTTTATAAAACAAGCAATAATATGGCATAAGTAAAGCGTCGTGCCTCATCAAAAAGTTTTCTAAATTAACATTACATTGTATCGCTTAGTTAAATCTAATAGGTTTTCTATGACGTATATTAAGCATTAGTTTACTGTTAAAAAATATTCAGACTTTCCTGTTAATGGATGCTTTTATTCTATAACCGTCGTTGAACAGCCTACTCAGTTTTTTGGGGTTTACGACTCCAAATGTTCAACTCCGTAGCCGTGTAATTTTGAATCCAATTCAGAACAAAAAGCAACTCATAGAGAAGTCAAGGCGACTCAAGTATTACGAGAAATTTGCCTTTGAGGAGGACATTTTGAGGGAACTAATCCGCATTCACGTTACGTGGAATGGAAAAACACGAAAACCTCCCACGGTCAGTTTGATGGTAATCGGACTCTAACCCATGATCCGTCTACCTCTGAGAATATTTCACGCCAGCACTGTGGTCTGCGCAAGCAGGATGCGGAAATTATCGACCAGACATCGCTAGGATTCGAACCCGGTTAACCTAATTGAAAGGCGAACGCTCTATCCCCTGAACCGTCACGGCTCTTAGTGGATTATTGACCGTGTAAAGCTAAGCACAGATGGCGCTAGGTGCTAAAATTCATCGCAAGACTTTCGAGTTATTACCTCTGATTTATTTTTACGCCCAAGCTTGAAAACACGCACCATTGAAATACTTACAATATAACAGGATTTTTCAATTTAATTTTAACTAAACCAATAACAAATGAATTCGAAAGACCCCGCAAGCATACTATGATTATATTTTTAAAAAATAGCAAACGGCGATATTTCACGCAATTATAGCCAAATAAGGAATAAGACTCAAAACATGGCAATTTTACACTTTATTTCTGTTAATATTAATTTTCTTAAATTTGTTTTAGGATGACGACCTTGTAGAATTAATAAATTACAAACAACTCTTATGAATGGTAAAATTACGTGCAAATGTAAGCACAAATCACATTAATAAAACTTTCTAGAACATTAAGCCTGTTCACACATCATCTTCAAAGCATAACTTAAGCGAAGGGATACACAGAAAGATTTCTGAATTTCTAGCAAGCTCCTTAAGCTTGAAAATAGCTCATTAACAGAGTTATCTTGAATCTACAAAATAGATATTAATTATAACACAACTGCCCCACCAAAAAAAATTTTTTTGGTAGAAAAGAACCGTTTTTTTTTTTAAAGACAATAGAAAAATGGGGTAAGAATCCCCCCAAAAGAAACAGAAATCCAAAGAGTATTAATTTCAATAGTTTATATTTTAATTATTATTTTTTTTCATTTAGATACTATTCCAATGTAAATACAATATTTTTTTTTAAAATAATTTAAAAGGCAAAAAAAAGTCATTGTTAGAAATCGTAATTTGATTTCAACGCACTTTTCTTGAAGAAAAACTAAGTAAATTATCTATATAAAACAGAATATTTGTTTGTTTCATATATAAATCCGCAACTTTAAACCTATTTACTTTAAATTTGATGTATTTAGAGAAGGCATGGTGGTTGTCACTGGTAAAATTGTTTTCGGTATAACATATGCATGGAAGGCATTTCTCATAGAATTAACAAGAATGCCATAGTTGGAAAAAAGTCGATAGTTTCGGTAATATGAGGATTAAAAATGATTACTTTAGCACTATTGTCGCTTAGAGCTCTATCAAACTAAAATCATTACCTGGTGAATTTGTAGCACAATCTTGAAAATGAATCATTTGTAATTTACTTGGTTACGTTATCACAAGTAAACCTATGGCAACATTTCGCATGCTTTCCCCATTAGCGAGGGGAGAATCATAGGAGAATGAAGTTTGTTAGTTCTCGTCAGGATTTTCGAATAGATTAAAAACTTTTAAGTTAAGATACTATCTGGAACTAAAAACTGCATTGAACATAGATCTAAAAGAAAACGTTGTGGAAATTTAAAAAAAAAAAAAATATTTGTGACAAGTAAATACGAAAAATATTAAGAAAGGGGAAAATATTGTAGTATATTGTTATACAACTGAGTAGAGGGTAAAGGCATGGAATCGGTCTTCTCGCCAGATGGCGTATTCGAGCGTTAGCGATGGTAAATTACATTTTAGTAATGGAAGTTATAAAAATTAATTTTAACACTGAGGTGATTGGTATCACTCTCTAAGATGAAAAATAATGCAGAGGTGAGGTCCATAAAATTATACGAAAAATATATATCTCAATACTACACACTTGATTTTTGGGGTCATTGAAATGACATTTGAAAGAGGCTTAAGATGATGGCCAGAAAACTACGCGTTGACATAAATAATTTTATAGGCGTATTGCAATGTATAATGGGCATAAATTATTACAAAAAAAGACCTTTACAATAGTTTTACCATTGATGCACATTCTGTTTAAATTTGGTTATCGAGCCACGGTGTTTTCGGGGATAAGATCTTGCCACCAATTGAGGTGAATAAGGTTCGAATTACAGAGATAGCCGGTTGATACGAAATCTGCTTCCAACTCACATCGACCATAGAGCTAAAATATTTTCAGCGGTAGAAGGATCATGAATTAGAATCTTCTTTGCATCAGAGTGGGAGGTTTTACTCTCCTTGTGAAGCAAATGTTGGTTAGTTCCATCAAAAAATTCTCCACAAAGACTAGTTTGTCCCAATGCTCGATCCAGGAGTTCCTTTTTCTTCTGAGTTGGGTTCAGAATTACAAGGCTTTCTGAGTTGAACATTGACATTCATAAATCCAAAAATGGGTCGACTTCTAAACATGGGTCACAAACCATCTCATTGTCTATTCGTTGAATTACGGATCACCAAACTTTCAGTTGCCTTTTGCAAAAATGGACTAAATAAGCTGTAGGGGTGGAAGAAAGTAGAAACTTTATGAATCTCAAAATGAATGAATCAAAAAAATTACTCACTAAAACCGATGTTTGCTCGTAAAAAACGAGCTATGCTTCCATAGACGTAACATTATAAGAACCAAGTATTTTAGATTTTCTCGCTAAACTCCGGTTCTCGTTCAATTAGGTGGTCGAGCAGTTAGCGGGCCTGACTGTGAAGCCAATGGCTGCGAGTTCGAATCCCGCTCAGGGCATGGATGATTCTCTCTGTGTGTTGTCCTCTGTTATATGTGAATGTGGCCCACCCTATAAATGGGTATCTGATGCAGCGTTGTGTGGATAATGTTGCTAGAGGTCACAAGGTGCTCACCATGGTACGTAAAATGAGTAACAAGTCCGGCACTTTCCACGGCAAAGAATGATAAGTTCAGGGTCTGTCGCTAAAAAAATAATAATAAATTTAAAAAAAATTCGATCAGGGCTTGAGTGGATTTGTTTTCACAGAACATGTTTCAGTTCCTATTTTTTTTCACTTAATTTTTCAAATCATTGGTGACTACTGGGACACTAGGTAAGTAGTGTTTGATAAAAATAAATAAAATAAAAAACACTACTATAAATAACACTCTATTTAATAAATAGCCTTATAAACATCACATTACACTTATATTCATGGTGAAGACTTTTAAACTCTCATGCAGATGCCTGAGCAATAAATTAAGTCTTTCAAGATTGGCACAGGCAGCACTTTAAACAAGCATGATTGATCGCAATAAGAGTGTGAAATAATGTCATCATCTGCAGGCTTTATTATTGCATGTAAGGCAATGATAGATGCTCAAGAGTTATCTAAACGATTGTGACACAATAAATATTTGCAACATATCATTTTTAAGGAAACTTGTGAAGACAAACTAATTAATAAAAATTAGAAAAATAATATGCATTTAAAACATATTTTTTACGACATAAATTACAATAAAATAGTTTTTCTTTGTTTACAGCACACAATTCCTACAGGATGTTCCAAAAATGACTTAAGCTAGTGAAGAAAAATGGAACAAGATAAAAATGTACAGTTTACTGAACCAGTCTTTTTTTCACCAATTTTAAAAGTAGTTCCAAAGTTCATCAACAGATGGCTATGATAAATAAACAAAACTATAAAACAATGTTTTCATAACAATCCTGAGTTGTAAGCACAGTGAGGCACAGTCTGACAGGCAATGGAAAACATTTTGTTACAGTTTCTTCAGTAAACAGCCTCATCTGTTGTTTAGCTATGCAACTAATTTAGAATATTTTAGAGATAATAATTTCCAACGCAGAACATAGTAAACAACACATTTCTACCATTTTCTTGCTATACTTCGTCATTTATAGGACACCGCGCATGACACAATCAGGCATTTTTAAAATACTTGTCAAATTACAACAAATGATTTGAATAAAAATTGATGCTACATTCATGTCATGTACAATACCTTGCTAAATATGTTTTTACTTACAGATTAAACTATTATCTTGGCACATTACAGCCAAGAAAGAATTAGCCATCCCTTAAGATACTAATGATATTTACAGACATTTTTATGGCTTTTCTGCATGAAAAAAATAGAGTCAATTTTAAAAATAAAAATATTTCATCCAATGGAAATTTTCTCTAAGACAAATTATTCATTAAACAAAAAACATATTTATTTTTATTGTTATTATTTTTAAGTTTATGAGGCATGTCAGATACGTTTTTTTAGAATTATTATAGAATTCTTTTTCTTTTTATTCCAAAAACAGAGAGAGAAACTATAAAATTTCAATTAATCCTCTTTTAGTGGTCATAAGTTTTATTTGAGCTGCTTTATTCTTTTGTATAACACAGCCAATTGAAATTAAATTTGTTTTTCAATCAAATTTCTTTTTCACAATGAAAAGAAAAATGACTGTAAAGCAGTAACAGGGTCTGGGAAGCACAACAAGCAGTAAATAAAAAGGTTCTGCACTTTGTAGTTAACATAACTGAAATAGATAGATCTGTAATAAGATGTAATAATTTTTTTTTTTTTAAGTCCCATTTGGAATATCAGATACAAGATTATGAATCTATGAGTGACTTATGAATAAATATTGTGTTGGAACCTAACATTTTTTTTTTTACATCTGCAAATTTAAAAAATTAATAGAAAAATAAATTTGATGCTCCATAGAATTTATTGCATATTAAAGACACATGAAAAAAAATTAAGTAAAATTATGCTTTAAATACTGTCCGTGGGTATATTTAAAAAAAATCATATGATTGAATAAATTTACATAAAGCAATTATTGCATGAAGCTGCGTAAAAATTATTTTTAAGCTTTTAAAATTATAATAAAAATCTCACCCAATTTAAAAATTCTAAGAATTTAAGGCGATTTTTTTAAAATTATTTTTACTACTTAAAGCAGAGTAAAGAGTAACAGCAGAGTAAACTTAATTCATTTTATCCACATTTTTCAATAAGTGAAGAAATTTTAACACCAAAATCTTTTATAAAATATTTAGTTTAATAATTTAATGGAATAAATAAATACGTTTCTTTCTTTTTTTTTTTCTGGTGAATATTTCTATGCTTATACATATAAGTCAAAAAAAATTTTGAAAAAAGTAAGACAAAATAATTTAATAATAACAAAAACAAAATAATAATCACTAGATATGTCCATTCAAACTTCAGTACAAATTTCATAAATTTAGAAAAGAAACAAAATTTAAGATTAGTGTAAAATTAATAAACTCATTATAAACAGGACTTTTTACAACAGCAGAGGTTATAGTCTTTTCAAATAACTTAGAACAATGTTTTTATTTTTTTTTAAATAGGAAGTAGTAATACGTATTTGAAGATAATTTAGATTTTTTTCATATGAGCTTTCAATTTCTCTTAAAACAGCCATTTTTCCTAAATATACAACCTTAAATTTTATATTAGTTCTGGTAGTCACAGATATATCAATTTTCTATATAGAAGGCAAATTAGAATTAGTAATTGTTTTCATCCTGATTTATCAGGACATAGACTAAATCAGATATTTCTCTTCCAAAACAGTTGATAATAACAAAATCTAAATCAGATATTTTTCTAGCGTTGAAATTACTGCTGGTGCATAACACCTTTTGAACAGAGTGGTTATAACTAAAGTTACCATGTTTAGATCAACATAGTGTTTGTTCTGAAAGAATTACATGAATGAAACTCAATATTAACGTTATATGAACAATTCAAATTACAATTCAAGTTTTTTTTTAATTTGATCAACAGATGGCGCTTTGGTAACCAAGAAAGGAAATTATTGCTTTTAGAGTGGTTTAAGAAGCCAGCAATTAGTAAGTCACTACTGTAAAATTATTTTGTACTATCACAGTTCAGAAAAAAAATTATTGCTAAATTCGACAAAACTGGAGAATTAAAGTCATGCTGCAATGTCAGAGGATGAAAGCTGTGTTAAAAGGAACTTATGAGAGCTTACGTTTTTGCAATAAATCTAAAATTGATTTGTGTTTAGGTTTAGCTTGTTATAATCTATTCTGAACATGAATTTCAGGAGAATAGAATTCATATTGCTATCATATCATATTGCGATCATTCATATTGCATATAGACGCTATAGTAAAATAAAATTTTGTGCTTCAAATTTCTGTTTTTTGTTTCTTATAGACACCTTTTGTCACCTAGTGATAAAAACTGATTTTGTTTTCCCATTAGTTATACGGCAAAATTAATAAATTTTGCTACTTATCAGTGGGTACTTGTTGCATTTTAAAAAGTGGCCCCTTTCAGAAATTTAAATTGGTTTAAAAAAGAGTGTTGATATTAATTATATAAGGTATCACTTCTAAGATATAGTAAAATTGCAAGATTCATTTCAAAAAAGAAAAATTTTAAGAAACAAGTATAAAATATTGCATATAGACGCTATAGTAAAATAAAATTTTGTGCTTCAAATTTGTGTTTTCTGTTTTTTATTAACACCTTTTGTCCCCTGGTGATAAAAAACTGATTTCGTTTTTCCATTAGCCATAAGTCAAAATTAGGAAATTTAGCTATTGGTCAGTTGGGTACTTGTTGCATTTTTAAAAGTTGCCACTTTTTCCGAAATTTAAAATGGTTTAAAAAAAAAGTGTTGGTATTAATTATAAAAGGCATTTCTTTTCAAACATTTCTCAAGGCATAATAAAATTGCAAGATTCATTTCAAAGAAGAAAAATTTTAAGAAACAAGTGTGAAATAAACTAATTTTCAGAATGTTATAAAACATTCATAATAATGCCACATTTTTTTAAAAAACAATTATTAGAATAATATGTATGTGGAATAAATTTTTGACGAAAAAAAAACTAGTGATGGAGAGGGTGGCAACTAAAAGACTATTTTATAAACTCAATTTGCTATGCCCGGTGGCTGGTGTCAAGAGAGATAAATTTGTCCCATACTATTAGCCCATAATAATGTAAATACAAAGCTTCAACGTCATACCATCACCAAGAACGAACTCTTATGTTGGTCTAAATTAGGTAAATTTAATCATAACCATGCTGTAATTTTGTCAATAAAGGTTTTATAACCAAAGCATGATACATTGTAATTAAAAATAGTATTTTAAAATAAAAAAAACTCTTGAACATCTAAAATTGAAAAGGTGAATTATTTGTAAATGATAATGATACATTAATGCAATTAAAAAACAGCCTATAAATTCTTCAAGTCAAAGATGCTGCTGTAAAAAACTGAGCAGGGTCGTTTCGTAATGTTCACTAGTATCTAAATGTCGTAAACTATGCCTTTCAGTAGGATAAATCTGAAAGAAAGAAAAAATATATAAAAACAATATGAAATAGAGTAAGGAAGGATAATAAGCAACTGGAAAGATTTTTTTATTTTCTGCATTACTATAAAACAATCAGAATATAGAAAAAGTTTTATATTTAAAGTTTTTTTTTTCCTTTTTCAAATTAATTTTTGGGTGTAAAATAAAAGTTACTGCCATCACATCCTTTAACATTCGGTGTTTTTGCAAAATGCTTTTTCTAGAGGTAGAGAACAAAAGCAGAGAACTTTAAAACAATAAAATGTATATGGAACTTTTAACAGAAATTAAGAACATGACCCTTATCTATATGATCTTTCATACATATGTTTAGATTATTTACATTTAATGGTGGATAAAAAATTTTTAATTCCAATTTATTAAAATATTAACACACAGCATTTGCTACTACAAGGAAATATATTTTATAAAACTATAGAAATTCAATAGCAACTGGAGGGTATTTTCTATATGACAATAAAAAAAGTTTAAAAAATGGAGTAAGTAATTTAAGATATCTATCTATAAATTTTTCATTTAAAAATTAAATGTGTAGTAATGAAACAAAATTTTAATCTTTATTTAACAATAGTCTCTTAATACAATCTCATATTTGAAAACCTTTGACATGTAAACTAAAGAAACGATGCAGTGAAAAAAAATTACTAAATACATATCCGTTTGCAGAGCATTTTTAATAACTATGTTTAAAAAAATTTTTAGCATTTCTATTTATTCTTAAAGTTTTAACTGTTTTGCCATAAAGATCTTTTATTTCAAATGCACTACCACAGTTATAATTTTTATTTATACAAAAAAAAATAATTAATTGATTAAAAAAAAAAATTAAACATAAATTTCTATAAGCACAATCACATAAGAAAACTTAGTTACGTTTTTGTTTGATTTATTTAATTATAATAATAACTATAGCAAATTATTAAACAAAAATTAAGTAATCATTAGTCTCACTTGTAATTGATAAGGTTTTCCAGCTTTTATTAATGCATTGATAAGTTGACTGGTGTGAGCAAAATGAACATTCTCATCTCTTAAACCGTGAATAATTAATAATCTGTTTTCTCTGCAAAGAAAAATGTAATAGAATTCATTAAAGTTAAAATAGTTATTAAGAGAAATAATTAATGTTAATGAGTAAAAGGCTAAACTAAATGCATAGAAGATTAAAAACATTAAATTAAAATACAAGAACATAGCATAAAATAACTATTGACAAATATTTCTTTAACAAAACAACTCTTTGGGCGAAAATATAAATGCAAAGGAGAGAAACTAGTCAATTTTGGGTGCATGCTTCCTATATTTTCACCAAGAATTGGAACCACAAGAGCATGTACAAAACTGTTAAGTAAAATAATGTACATTGCCAATACTTTAAAAAGCGAAAAGGGAACATAAGTTTTATCTTTACATGTAAACAAATGATTAAATGTTAAATAAAATGCTTTATGAAATGTATTTTTATTTGCAAAGGAAAACAATATTTAGCAATGTGCAGACTGTGCATTTTTAAAAAAAATTTTACTGAAATTTTTTTTTTATTAAATATGCAATAATAAATTGACAATCTGAAGTTTGCAATCTAGTGGGTACAGTCTCTAAATTTTTGAGAATGACTAAGAAATGAATGAAATGTATTAATATATTTTAAAATTGAGCTGTCTTAATAAATGCGTTGTTATTTGCAAAGGAATACCTTATATAGGAATGTGCAAACTGTACATTTTATGGTAAAGTTTTTTAATTGAAATAAAAGTTCATATTAAGTATACTTTGATAAATTGAGAATTTGATGTTTGCAATTCAGTAAGTATGGAGTCTAAATTTCAAACATTAATTATGAAGGAAATGAAATGTTTTGATGTGGTTTAAATTTGAAATGTTTTAAATATTATATTTTATTTACCAAGAAAAATATTATAAGGCAATGTGCAAAAAATTGTAGGTTTTATGGTAAGGTTTTTATTGAAATAAAAATTCATATTAAGTTGAAAATTTGATGTGAGCAATTCAGTTAGAACAACCTATAAATTTTTTAAAATGATTAGGAAGTGCTTTAATAAGAGCATTTTAATTTGAGAAGGAAAAAATTATGTAACAATATGCAGATTGTATATGGAAAATATAATTATCAAAAAAGAAAAATAAATAAATAGTTAAGCTGGAATTATAAACTAGATTGCTCGAAATGTCAGCAGTTGATAAATGTAATTAATTTAAAATTAAGTAATTAGTAAAATTAGTTAATTAAGTAATTTAAAGAATAATTCAATAGTTCTGGATTACATATTCAAAGTCATTCTCTTTAGTGGATCAGCATGTCCAAATTTTTTTTTATTTGTTTTGTTTGGATAACAATCAAGTTTAGTTTCTAATTATTTAAAAAAAAGACTATTAGTATAAAAGCTATTTGTGTTTTAAAGATATTGTGTAATTATGGAAACTATTAAGTTAATTCACGGCTACAGCTCTTTAATTCATGAAGCAATTAACTTAGAAGATCATAACAATTTTATCCTTAAAAAAAAACTAAAGTAATTAAATTTAGCTCATAGACAAGAACGAATATGTAATCAAATTAGAAAAACACAATTTTACATAATTACAGAACTGAGGAATAGGGGAAATCTATAAGTACTATTTTTTACATCGTATATTTGAATCTCATTTAATCACATTTTTAATCAAAAACTACAGTTAAAGAAAGTCAATTTCCATCCCCCCTCCTCATCTTGCAGTAAAAAGTGTGCAAAAATTCAAAACTTATATTGTCTATTAAAACCCGTATTAAAAGAAAACTACAATATCACCAAGTTATTGTGCATAGTAATGTAGGTATAAAATGTCTTAAGGCCTGGTTTCTTAGGACAGGTCGGCGTTACAAAATGTCACCTTGAAGCAAGCGCTAACCCCTGATTGGTCAATTTGTGAGTTAGACAGCATACGTCATTGAACGCTCAGCTTGAAAGACGACTTACGTCTGAATCAACTGCAGTTGGATTCCAATGTAATGATAATGACAGAAGCAATGGCGGACTACATCCAACAGAGCATTGAAATCAGCCAAGATTTTGATTTTAACATTAAACATAGCTTCTTCTTCATTTAGCTAAGCTATAATGTGGTTTTCTTTTCTTGGACAAAGTCATTATTTGTTCTCTTAAACACTGATCAACAATAACAAAATCAAAATAAATATTTGTTTACGTTATTAACGCATGAACAATGCGAGATAATGTCTACGTTGGACCCACTGCTCACGCTAAGCTTACAAAACAGTATTTTGTTGGCGTCAGGGTACGTCAACTTCCGCTGACGCCCAGAGAAGGTGTTTGTCTTAAGAAACCACACCTTTAGCAACAATCAATTCTCTCAATGAAGCCTTCCCTTTTTTTTCTTCATCAAATTTGTTAGAAATGATTCAGATTATATCTATACAGTTAGTAATTAGAATTATTATTTGTCCATAATAGTTTCTTTTTTATTATTATTGTCCTTATTTTATAATCGATAGTACCTGAACTTCAAGACGAATGTAATGGAAATATAAGTAAAAAATTTATCTAATAGCAAGCAAAATTTTTTTAGGCTGTAGGAGTCCATGCATAGTATTTCTTACTGCATGTTTACAAGCAGATCTTAAACTAACAATCAAAATTTTAATTTTATTCACACTATGCTATAGTTAAACCAAAGTTAAACTGTAACATAGTGTGAACTTTGCTACTGTTTAACTGTAGCATAGATTTTTTGTTAATTTTTTTACATTATTCTACTAGTAACTGGCTTTTTCTTCCTACCTAGAATCCTAGTTCAAAAATTGCTTCTTTATTCTAATTCATGATTATATACCTATGAAGAATCATTGCAATACATTTTGCCTTGTTATAAATTTCAATGATCCAACTCCTTTAATTTTTTTTCTTTTGTGCTTTCAGCCTTTAAAGTTACAAACTGAAGGGAATGGAATCGCTTAAATGATATATAAAATGATTGCACAAATTCTTAAGTGAACACTTCCTAATTTAACAACTTTTGAAACCCCAAGAAGAAAGAAAATCGAAAAAAATATTACAAAAAATGCACTTAATCGAATTATGTTTATTAAACAGCAAATTATTTAAAATACAGCTATGTGAAATTATAATTTAAAGGTTTCATGATGCCCTTAGCCACAGTCAGGTTTTTTTCCTTTTTATTTATTTATTAGTCTATTTTAAACATCAAATAACAATTTACTTTTGTTATTTATCACGATTCATTGTATCTCAAGATAAAACTTTCAATATCAATGAATTAAGAGTATAAAAAAAATCACAACCTTAAGAATATATTTATAAATTAAATATTTATAAATATTTTCAATTTAAATCAATGATTTGTTTTTACAAATTTAGATGATATAATATTGATATTTGGCAGCGACAATAAAGCATATCCAATCCAAATAGGTAAATCTCCTAGTCCAAACAATTTAATTGAAACATATAAGGCTTTTTCTTATTCAGAAACTGCCATAGACAAAATGATAAAAAATTGCCTTTAAACAGACAACAAAGTACACTTTTTACAATTCGTAGTTTTTCAATAATATGTTGTTGTTTTTTTTTTGCAATGAAACATAACATACTTTTGAACAAAAGTACACATTATGTTTATTTTTCATTATCTTACATGTGATAAAAAGTATTTTATGAATACTAGACCTATCCTCGCAGTCACTTAGCATTGTTGTTGTTTAAAATTTATCATATTTGATCCAATCAAATACTTTATGGAGGTCATATCAGATCAAATATTATTGAAATCAAAACAAATATTAACCCTCTGCTTAATACAGAATGACTTCATCATGCCAAGCATCATAAGCAAAAGGTTAAAGACTTGAATCAAATCAAATTAATCATAAAACTAGATATAATTTAAGAAAAAAATAAGTATTTTTCACACAGGAAATACATACTCATCAGGGAAATCATTTGCATATGCCAAAACAGAGCCAGATGTATAACCCGAAGCATTTTTAGCGGGGGTGTCCATGTATCGTTCTGTATAGGCTGTGTCATACAACATCCATGAGGTAACTGGGGCCCCAGCAATAGCCACCTAGAAGTAATATGTTTTACATAGCATACATAGCACATAGCAAATCACCAAGATACAAATTTTAAAAAAACCAAATAACATGTATACCTTAAAAATATCAGGTCTTTGTATCAAGCCCATCAGAGAAAGGTAACCACCTAAAAATATAAGTATTAATAGACCAAACTAATAAACCAAACTATATGATAATTCACCTCAATATGCAAAGTCTGAAGTTTCAAACCATTTAAATTACAAAATAATAAAATTACAAAATAATTAAATTATGTAATAAATAATATCTTTGAATCTTTGTAAAAATTTTAAGCTACAGCTTTACTAAAATAGTATGTTCTCATTTTTTTCTGATTATGGTAATATATTTTTCAACTAATTATATAGGCTTTTTGAAAAATCATAAGAGCCTAACACAAATTCGTAATTTTTTTACGTGAAATACTGAAATATTATTACAGTAGGTAACCGATTATCCGGAACAATCGGGACCATCGCTATTCCGGATAACTGATTTTTCCGGTTTTCTGAATCGCTACAAAAAACCGTTTTTTTATTGTTAAATCCAACTAAAAAAAAATTTTTTTTTGTGGAAATAATCTTAAAAAGAGGAAAAAGCGATGAAGTAATACACTAATGATTATTTCCAAAATGATGGTAAGGTGAACATTTTTTAAAAAAAGAAAGAAAAATCCTAAAATCTTATGAGAAAAAAAATTTTTTTTTAAAAAAATGGCGGGAAAATGTATTGAATTTCGTTCCGGTTTTTTGGTTTTCCGGTTTTCTGATTTCCGGATAACGGGTTCTGTACTGTATTTTAACTTTCAACAGATATTACACAATTCTTATTTTATTTTTGTTTATTTTACCCACATACCATTCCAGAGAAAATAGGAAAAACAAAACATGGATGAAATATGTAACCATCCAGTTTCAACAAAATGATAAATATTCACAACATCAATATATATTTCAAAAATTGATAGTCTACAACGCAATATTATATTATAAGCATATATTTAACACATTTCTAGTTTTAAGCATTCATATTTCTATATCATTAACAATAAGTATATTTATTTACATTCACTATTTTTGTAGCACTTAATTTTGTCAAATAGAAGTTTTAAAAATGCAAAACTAAAATACAGCAAGTGTTTAACTTATATGATTAATACACTGATCTAATAAATGCTTGATATATTACATATGAACATGTGATAAGAAATCATGCTAGTACAGCATGGAGTTGCCTAACCAACACACAAATAAAAAAGCTGGGAACTCTACAAAATAAATTCCTTCGAAGAATGACCGGTGCCCTTTGGCACTTCCCAAATAAATATATCAGGAAAGATTTAAATATGGACTTAATTGAAGAATTCATGAATAAACAAAATGCTAGCTTCTTTAGTGATGCTAAGAAAAGCGCAACTGCCAATTTCAATCTCATTCTAGACAAAGAAACAACCATACTCAATTGCTATTTACGTCACAGTAATACTCAGATATGACCTGCAAATGCAGCAGACTAATCAGTCATCAACTATCCTTGCTTTTTCCCATAATGCCATTAGTCTCAGTCGCCATTTAGCCTAATCCATATGAAGAAGTCGGGTGCCCGCTGCCGCGGGCAGGTACTTCAACAAAAATCAGATCAAGTCAAGATAAAAAAAATCATAACAAAACAGAGGTTAAAGCACTGAACTGTCATAGTGAAGAACTGGGATTCCATCCCCAGGGCAGCTAGAAGCCTATTCTGCTTCAGGTTGTACCAGTTTATTTGAAAAATAAAGATGGCCTCTGTGCAGTGCTGCCACAATCATGGTGTCAGTCAGGAAATTTTGGAGCCCTATTGTCTATAACCCCCATAGCCCACAACAGGCTGTTGTGAAAATGGCTCACTTATTTTAGAAACATTCTAATACAATCTAAGTTATGTTTAAAATATAATCCTATCTTTTAAAGCAGGGTAACAGTGTATCATTAGAGGGATTAAAAAATTATATTCATTTAAGCAGAATTCATAGAAACTTTTAAATCCAAAAGAATCTACAAGATTGAAAGGCATTCAGTTAAAATGTTTACAGAGTAAGTGTAAATCCTTGTGATTATAGAGTTTAACATTATATAATTACCATAAGACCATCCATGAATAGCTACTCTGGACAGGTCAATGATGCCCATGGATTTAGATAGCCATAACAGAACTTCCACGTGATCAGCAATTTCAACAGTTCCCTGAAAAATAAATTGCAGAACATGTATGATATATTAGGAAAAATAAATAACTTAATGATGATTATAATGTGATCTGTTCTATATTGGACAAACCAATTTGCAACATTTGGAATTATTTGTATTTAATACCCCTTTCCGTTTTTCCTTAGTAAAATAAGCGTTAAATAAGCAAAGTTTAAAAATGTCAATCAGTTAAACACATCTTTTTTACTACTTATTATTAATTTATACATTCAATGTTGTAAAAAGACTATGTAATTGATCATATGTATTTGTAATTATTTTTCAATAATATTACATAAAACATTTGGAAGTTTGAAACACAATCATTCATTAATGGCAAAATGTTAAAGATGATCTAAAATTTAGTCAAGATAGTTATTTAACAACTAGATTTAACACTGTAAAATTAAATTTGTCATGTTTGTAGGTGAATAAAAGTGGTGTCAACCTTTTCTAATCTCATTTGTGAGATAATCTAGAAAATTTTATTCTAAAAACAATAAGGAATAGAAAAAATTATAATAGAATAAATGATGACCTTCAACCAACTGAGGAAAATTAGGGAACAATTGATAATTGAAACAGGGTTGCCACAGAAAAAAATGAAAAAAATTGTTGCTTTTAGTAGCCTAAAACATATATATAGTAGCCAAAATCTAGGAAAATAGTTGCCTAAATAAGAACAAAAATTCATCAAAAATATGTCTAAAATTTTGTTAATGACTTAACTGTCTTATACCATGATCCATTCAGTCAAGTTGGCGGCAAATATGATAATTTTTAAATAAACGTAAATGTTTATATATATACAGTAGAGCGGCGATTATCCGAACCCTTATTATCCGAACGTCCAATTATCCGAACTATGTCTAAATTCGTTTTTTTTCTTCTTCTTTTTTTTTTTAAAGTTTAGAATACCTTTTGATAATTTTTCTAAATTAAGAAGAATAAATAATATCCCCTACATCCGAAGACCATATTTAATTTACAACCTTTTTAGCAGTTTTCTTATAGCAGCCATACATACATGTACATTTAACATGTATGTATGATACATTGTGCATGTATGATACATTTAAACCTACCTACCTCTTTACAACTGAAAATTATCTTCCAAGAATGCGAGCTTCATTTTGATAGTCTACAATGGTTGGAATGCAGAAGGAGTTTATGAATAGATAAGTGCTGAAGTTTTATAATTGGGGAATGGGTAGTTGTCACTTATGTTTAATGATTAGTGATTACAGTGCTTGGAATAATAAATCTTGGAATAAAATTCTTAACAGAAAAACTGAAGTTTCTGAACCAGTAGATCTTTCGGATGAAAATGATGAAATTGTTGCTGAAATTTTGAATGAAAATCGGAACTCCACAGACGAAGAGGAAGAAGTAAGTGATCAAGTTCAAGATAGTGGACCTTCTCATATAGAAGCATGCAATTCATTAGATATTGCAATGAATTGGCTAGAACGTCAAAATGATGTTGATTCAGTTCAGTTGATTTATTTAAAAAGAATAAGGGATATATGGCTGCTAAAAAAATGCTTCTTCTTTGAAACGAAATCTTTGCTGGATTTCTTTTGCAATGGAAAATAATGAAAAATGTTGTAAAATCAGTAATTGACAAAAAAAATTATAAAAAAACTGAAACATGATAAAAATAATTCAAAATGAAAAAAAGTAAAAATATTTTAAAATTGAAGAAAAAAAAACTTTTAAGCACGCCAAAGCTATTTTAGATAGTACTACCAGTCCTAAGCCTACAAAAGGTGCGAAGGGAAGTTAGTGCATAAATAATAATCATGTACACTAGATTTTAAACAGTTTTCCAACTATTCGAACTTCTCATTATCCAAACCATGTTCGGTCCCAAGCAGTTCGGATAATCGGCGCTCTACTGTGTATATATATATATATATATATATATGGAAGTATTTCTNATGAAAAGTGATTACTCAAATTCGAAATTCAAGCATCGTAATATTGTATTGAAAAATTTTTAATCATGTGTAATTTCGTATCCATAATCATTAAAAAGTGAAAACTCAAATTTGCAATTCAAAATTTTCAAATTTTTTTATTTTTTAAGGGAAAAAAAGTTCAGTGTGTTCAGGTACTATCTTGTGGGGTGCAGATTTTCCACCCAATTTATGCTTAAAAAAAAAAAACATTGCTAGGAGTACAGAAAAGTCTCCCAATAGTCTCCTTTTCCTGAAAATAGTTGCTTTTTTAGCCTTTTCAGGAAGAAAAAAAAGTTGCCATAGTCGCCTTATGCCAAAAATAGTTGCGAATAGTTGTATTTTAGTCGCCTGGCAACCTTGTTGAAATAATGTTCAACTGGGAAACTAATTTAAAAATTTGTTAAAATAATTTATTAGTTAAAAATTAAATTCATGTTAGAATTTACATAGAAAATAAACATAAATAGTCTTCAGAGCAATAAAAACAATTTAATTATGTCAGTTTAAAATTCAGAAAAGTTGATCACAAAGCTTTAAGGCATAAATAACAAGAATCAAAATAGTAATAAAATTACCAGTCTTCCTTTGATATGACTTTCGAATGCCACCCCTCTGTGCCTTGAGCCTCTGCAATCTATTGAAATAACTACATAACCTTCAGCAGAGAGCAAGTATTGCCGTAGACACCTGAAGAGAAAAAAAACATGTAACTTATTTTAAATCATTAACTTATTCTGAACAAAAAATGGACAATTGTGGAGGAAGAGCTGTGATTGCTCAGGGGATAGAGTGTTTGTCTTCCAATAAGGTGAACCGGGTTTGAATCCCAGCGATGGCTGGTCAACACGAATTCCACACCCGGCTCGCACTGATCACAATGCTGATGTAAAATATCCTCAGTGGTAGACAGATGATAGGTTCGAGTACCCTTTCTGTCAGGCTAACTGTGGGTTTCTCGTAGTTTTCCTCTCCATGTAAAGCAATTGTGGGTTAGTTCCATCAAAAAGTCCTCCATGAATGCAAATTTCTCCTAATACTTGATCCAGGAGTTTCCTTGTCTTTTGGATTGGGTTCAAAATTACAAGGCTGCGGCGTTGAACATTGGCAGCAGTGAACTCAAAATTGGGTCAGCAGTTCAATGACGGTTATAAAATAAAATTTTAATAAAGATGTGAAGATTTACTAGAAATTGCAACAAGAGATTTCACAATGAATTTTCCTTCTGTACAACTTTAAATAGTTAAATAAATAATAAAAAGCAAAATAGTTAATAAAACATATTTAGCTTCTAAATATGTTTTATTAACTATTTTGACTTATAATTTATTCTGGGTGTGAATTTCAAACATTTTTATAAATACTTAAATGATAAAATTTCTTTAGCAAATGCGGATAAGTTCCATGAAAAAGTTCTCCGTGAATGTAAATTTCTCCTATTACTTAATCCAGGAGTTCCCGTATCTTCTGGAATGGGTTGAAAATTGCAAGGCTATGTAGTTGAACATTAGTAGTCGTAAACCCAAAATTGGGTCGGCTATCCAATGCCGGTTATAAAATAAAATAAAATTGTAGAGGAAAAACAGTAAAAAAAAAATAATAAAAAAAAAACATTTTAATAAATATTCATGTCATAGAGAAAAAGAAAAATTTCATACAATTTAAAAGCTAAATTTCTATTTCATTCAAATCTCTTCTCAATAAATAAATATGTTTTTCATTCATGCTTATGATGTTGGTGATCGCCATATAGTGGTATTTAAAGTACTATCTCCAGAAAAATGAATAAAACCATTTAAGTAAAAATTTTATTTATTAAAGTAAAAATGAATACCTAATNCTTTGGATTACAAGTCTAACAAAAAGTTTTGGATGACATCAGTTTTATTTGAAGACTATTTAAGAAAATTGGATCGGAAATTCTTTGCTAAAAAAAGAAAAGTGATACTCTTTAAGGATAAATGCACAACGCATAGTGATCTACCTAATTTGAAAGCAGTAAACTTGCAGTTTCTCCCGCCAAACACAACAGCAAAGTTGCAGCCGATGGACCAGGGTAAAGTGCTTCAAACAGTCTTATCGTAAATGGCTTGTCAGAAAAATGATGTTAAATATTGTAAGCATTTAGGAGATTTGTAATTAATAAGCATTAATTAAATAATCCGACAATATTTTGAAAGTCTAAAACCGAAACTAACGGTAAGTCGAACTTCTGATATGTCGAAGTTTTTCGTCAGTCTTATCAGATTCGAGTTATCGTGAATTCACTGTATATATATTGTATATATATGAAAAGTGATTACTCAAATTCAAAATTCAAGTATCGTAATATTGTATTAAAAAAATTTAACTCATGCGGAATTTCGTAGCAATAATCATTAAAAAGTGAAGACTCAAATTTGCAATTCAAAATTTTCAAAAAAAATTTTTTTAAGAAAAAAAAAGTTCAGTGTGTTCAGGTACTATCTTGTGGGGTGTAGATTTTCCACCAAATTTATGCTTAAAAAAAAAACATTGCTAGGAGTGCAGAAAAGTCTCCCAATAGTCTCCTTTTCCTGAAAATAGTTGCTTTTTTAGCTTTTTCAGGAAGAAAAAAAGTTGCCATAGTCGCCTTATGCCAAAAATAGTTGCAAACAGTTGTATTTTAGTCGCCTGGCAACCTTATTGAAATAATGTTCAACAGGGAAACTAATTTAAAAATTTGTTAAAAAAATTTATTAGTTAAAAATTAAATTCATGTTAGAATTTAACATAGAAAATAAACATAAATAGTTTTCAGAGCAATAAAAGCAATTTAATTATGTCAGTTTAAAATTCAGAAAAGTTGATCACAAAGCTTTAAGGCATAAATAACAAGAATCAAAATAGTAATAAAATTACCAGTCTCCCTTTGATATGACTTTCGAATGCCACCCCTCTGTGTCTTGAGCCTCTACAATCTATTGAAATTACTACATATCCTTCAGCAGAGAGCAAGTATTGCCGCAGACACCTGAAAAAAAAACATGTAACTTATTTAAAATCATTAACTTATTATGAACAAAAAATAGACAATTTTGGAAGAAAAGCTGTGATTGCTCAGGGGATACGAGTGTTTGTTTTCCAATAAGGTGAACCGGGTTCGAATCCCAGTGATGGCTGGTGAACATGAATTCCACACCCGGCTCGCACTGATCACAATGCTGTTGTTAAATATCCTCAGTGGTAGGCAGATCATAGGTTTGAGTACCCTTGCTGCCAGGCTAACTGTGGGAGGTTTTCGTAGTTTTCCTCTTCATGTAAAGCAATTGAGGGTTAGTTCCATCAAAAAGTCCTCCATGAATGCAAATATCTCCTAATACTTGATCTTTTGGATTGGCTCAAAATTACAAGGCTACGGCAGCAGCCTTAAACAGAGGCAGCAGTAAACTCAAAATTGGGTCAGCAGTTCAATGACGGTTATAAAAATTTTTTTTAATAAAGATGTGAAGATTTACTAGAAATTGCAACGAGAGATTTTACGATGAATTTTCCTTCTGTACAACTTTAGTACACTTATAATTTATTCTGGGTGTGAATTTCAAACATTTTTATAAATACTTAAATGATAAAATGTCTTTAGCAAATGCGGATAAGTTCCATGAAAAAGTTCTCCGTGAATGTAAATTTCTCCTATTACTTAATCCAGGAGTTCCCGTATCTTCTGGAATGGGTTGAAAATTGCAAGGCTATGTAGTTGAACATTAGTAGTCGTAAACCCAAAATTGGGTCGGCTATCCAATGCCGGTTATAAAATAAAATAAAATTGTAGAGGAAAAACAGTAAAAAAAAAATAATAAAAAAAAAACATTTTAATAAATATTCATGTCATAGAGAAAAAGAAAAATTTCATACAATTTAAAAGCTAAATTTCTATTTCATTCAAATCTCTTCTCAATAAATAAATATGTTTTTCATTCATGCTTATGATGTTGGTGATCGCCATACAGTGGTATTTAAAGTACTATCTCCAGAAAAATGAATAAAACCATTTAAGTAAAAATTTTATTTATTAAAGTAAAAATGAATACCGTATATTCCGGTGCATAACACGCCCCGGCGTATAACGCGCACCGTAATTTCTCATACTTTTTTTTAAATTTCAAGATATACTCTTCGTATAACGCGCACGAAAATTTGGATTGTACATGTGCAATATCTCGTCTTTCAAGATCGTAAATAAAAAGTTTTTTCCCCCTCTCTTTTGCAAAAATAAAAGAACTGAATTTGACATGTATGTGAGGGTAGAGTTGAAAGAGTAATGTGATTCTGAGAAAAGAGATTGTTGTATTCAGCAGTGCAGGTGTTTGCAACAATGTCTTTCACAGATGACATGCAAGATCCCTCACAAACTTATTCCCCCCAAAATGAACAAAAGGCATTGTAAGGAGCGTTACAAAGGAACACCTGCTACTAAATGATGGTCAAGATGACCCACCCTTTCACCACATTCCAGAAGTAAGGGGGGGAGGGGTGTCTGGAATGCTGTCTATTGTGTATGTCTCAAAAGCATATCTCAAATCAGGAGACAAATCGTTATTCCTCTTCAGCCAATCACACCATTTGATGCCCTGCCTTTGAAAAGTAAACATTGTAAGCTTTAAGAATTCAGTGTAGTTTTTAGTAGTAGACATGGCTCCTATCAAACAAAGTAAACACAGCGCTGGATTTAAATGCAAAGTAATTCAATTTGCGAAAGAAAATGGAAATCGGGCTGCGGCGAGACACTTTGGTATTGGCGAAAGCTCGGTGCGTGAATGGAAGAAAAATGAAGAGAAAACAATGGATATGCCTAAGGATAAGTGTGCATTGCGTACAGGACTAACAAAATGGCCGGCGTTAGAGAACAATGTAGAAAACTGGGTTTTGGTAAATCGGCAAAACGGCTTGATTGTAACAAGAAACTGTGTTCGCTTGTTTGCTCTAAAATGGGCAAAGATTAATCCACATGAGAGTGAAAATTTCAAGGCTACTGTGAGTTGGTGTAGCCGATTTATGGCTCGAAAAATTTAGTTCTACGTGAAAAAACCAAAGTATCACAAAAACTACCAAAAGACTTGGATAGCAAATTGTTAAGTTTTCAAAAATATATTATAGAACTGCGGAAAAAAAAGGAATATTTACTTTCGCAAATAGGAAATATGGATGAGACCCCAGTCATGTTTGACATGATCGGTAATAAAACAATTGATTTAAAGGGAGTCAAAACTGTCAACGTAACAACAACGGGACATGAAAAATCTCATTTCACCGTAGCCCTTTCTTGCTTAGCGGATGGAACGAAACTAAAACCAATGGTTATTTTTAAGAGAAAAACTTTTCCCAAATGTAATTTTCCAAAAGGTATTTTTGTTCACGTCCACGAAAAAGGCTGGATGGACGAAAATGGTGTTAAATTGTGGGTAAAAAATGTCTGGCAAATCCGTCCTGGTTGCGTAAGAAAACCAGAAAGCCTTTTAGTGTGGGACATGTTTAGGTCCCACCTTACAGATAATACAAAAAAATTGTTGAAAGAATGTAACACCGATATGGCAGTTATTCCGGGCGGATTGACACCATTAGTTCAGCCATTGGACGTCTGCTTAAATAAACCATTTAAAGCAAACTTAAAAAAACAGTGGAACACTTGGATGTTGGAGCGCGAGAAAACCTTTACAAAAGGAGGACATATGCGTCATGCTAGTTTGGAAACAGTATGCGAATGGATATTGAAAGCATGGGATGAAATTAAGCCTGAGATGGTTAGAAAATCATTCAAAAAATGCAGCATTTCAAATAATCTAGACGGATCAGAAGATGACTATTTATTTATGGATGAGGGCAACACAGATGAAGACGAAACAAATTGTGATGACGTACCTGAAGAAATAACGGAAGACGAATATGATGAACTATTTATGTAATAACGAAAATCAATAAAGCATTTAGTACGTGAAGGTACGTTATTTCTTTAAAATAAAAGTATTTTTCTATATTTAATTTTTTTTAATCTATAATTTTTTATATTCGGCGTATACCGCTCACCCGTAAATTCCAATGTTATTTTTTGTATCAAAAGTGCGCGTTATACGCCGGAATATACGGTATATATAAAATGGCCATATTTAAAATACACAAAACATAAAGAAAAGTAAATCCCTTAAAGCGATTAAGATAAATATTCTCTTGCATGGAGAGTTTTGTTACCATCCATGATATCATAACAGTTGGGACTGTGAGGCCCCCAGTTGCCACAAATTTGAAATAGAAAGTTAATGAATTTATTCTTAAAGGATACAGAAGCAGGGAGAGGAGATTCCAAATTGAGGAATTATGGAAATATAACCCAGCAAAATCAATGTTAGGTTCGAAGATACCTTGGCGATCTCAAACTGTCAACAAGACTGTGAGAATTATAATAACCATGTAACTGAATAATATTTGCAGTAAGAAAGTAATTATAAAGAGTTATAAACAGATTTTTGTTTTCGATTAAGCGCTGAGGTGAGTTAATGAGTCTACATTAGTATTGAAATAAAACGTTAGCCGTTACATTGATCGGTGAGAAAAGAATAAAATATTTTATGATCACATTTATAAAGATTAACTTATTGACCTAATTTAAATATAATTTGATTAATAAGATCAAAAATATAAGTTTAAGTAATTAAAGATATTTTAAAAGTTAGGAAATATATAATGCCAGTTGTGGCATCACACTGCTCGCAAATCGTCTGGATTAATTCTAGAATCTCAATATAAAAGAGTTCACAAATATTCTTACCTCATTCCTTTGAAGTTATTTGTGACTAATTGCACTTCAGGACCACCATATATAGTTAACACAGTAGGATATTTTTCACCAATTCTTAGATTTTGAGGTTTGAAAAGCATACCATAGATTAAATGACCAGATTGAAGTTTATGACTAAACAGCTCAGGTTGACGATAAGTAGAAGGTACGGCTGGAAATTTTAATACATATTTGTTTGAAAAAACACTAGTTTTTAAGATATATAAATATAAAAAGAAACAGCAAGTATATTTTCATTTACAGAATAATTGAAAAGAACATATCTGCCTCTTTAAAAATTTATTAATTACCAAAAAATTTCATAATTAAAAATGTAGCATAAAGTAAAAAAATTTAAATCTATTGTTCAAATAAAAAATATTTTGGAAAAAGTACATAAAGATTTTTTAAATACATAAACTATAGAAAATGAATGCATAAACTATAGAAATTTTTATTTATCAAGTTCCCATGGCAATATTCTACATAAAATAATTCCATTAGACATTACTTAAAAAAAAAACAATTCTGAAATTTAAAAAAAAAAAGCAAAATGCTTCAAAAAAATTTATAAAAATTCAAGTAATTGCTCAACTTTGTAGCTATCTAGTTCAGTAGTAAAACTCATACAAAAAATTTTCAATCATTAAAAATTAAAATAAATATTTATTATTTTCATGATTTTAAAATAAAAAATATATTTATTATTTTCATGATTTTAAAACAAAAATGCAATCTCTTGAAAACTATATGAATGGTAAAATTAGAAAACAAATCTTAGTGATAATACTAAATTTCAATAAAAACAATGTTTAATATAGCAATTTGTAAAAGTTTTATTTTTAAACCTATATGCTTTTCGATGCCGCAATGTTCTTGGAAGAGTTTCTACATCAACAAAAACTTTACTGTATCTTGCTGCTATACAATATTTTTTAAATCATTAATTTTCTGTCCTTGGAACTTTAAATACATTCAATATTCAGTCACACATTCTATTTTTTAAATTAATAAGTAATTTATTTGATTATGCATTTTTTTTTAAAAAAAGTAATTTTAATTTAAAATTATTATTATAAAAATTTTAACAAAACGTTAACAAGATTAAAAATACTGATTTTATAAAGATATGTAAAAAATTAAGCAATTAAAAAAATAACAAATCTGAATTAACATAAGGTTTTTTACTACATTTGCTAAATGCTAAAATAGTAAAAAAAACCTCACTTCACACATTTTTTTTAAAAAAATCTTGTCTTTAAAAAGTATTGAGATTTTTCATAAAATAACTTAAGAGCACTAAAAATTTTATAAGTAATAAAAAATTTATGCAATTAGTGAATAGTTCCTCAGCTAAAAATTTCTACAATTAAGAATCTCAACCAATTCTTATCCTTATTAAATTTAATGAATGAAAGAGAAATGAAAATTCTGAGGTGATGAAGCTTTGTGGCTGTCGACTGCTCTAGGCCCACATGAAAACACATAATTAGTGAATGATCCCCCAAGTTAAGTTCTAAGATTATGGTACTGATCTATAAATAGAATAAAACTCAAGAAGGCCATTGGTTTGACAGTGACAGAGAGGATGGTACTTCATCAGCAATGAAATGAAAAAGAAAATTTTATTTTGCAATTATTAAGGAAAAAATTTTGGAAATGGTCACCATTGGTCAGTCCCCATGGTTATCAAAAATTTTAGAAATTTTTATGTTCAATTTCCAAGGGCTGTTGCACATGAGAGTGCAAAAATTCTTCCAACCGAATCCTGATCAGTGAAAGCACATGCAGATCCGCAAGTATTTCAACAAACATGTAAAATGACTGGCATTTTCATACGGCACACCAATATGGATTGTGATTAAATGAATTATGAAAATGTTGAAAGGAACAATATGAAAACCACGTTTTTTTGCATAATTCAAGACGAAAATCGACATGGTAAAGAAATAAAATCTCATTTTGGAAAAGGAGAAATTAAGCACTTTTTAAAAAACCCCAAAGAAAACAGCACCTCTAAGGGCTTTTCAAAAACGCAAGCATCCTGTAAATTAAAAAAAACAAAAAAACAAAAAAAAAACAGATGATACAGAAAAAACATACTAATTATATTGACGTGTGTCAGCATAGCAGAGTGGTTGTAGTAATTGAAATTCGATCCTCACAGCTCGAAGAAAATACAAAAATGTATAAATGCAATATGAGCTTTCATTTGTTGCTTCTGTGTCTTCTAGAAGTTCCTAGAATGTTCCAATTCAGTATTTCCTGTTACGTTATTTAGTTCTATAAAAGCTCAGACGTTTCAAGTAAAAACAACAGCAACATTGATCACAGAGACCTTAAAGGTTCTTAAGAAATCTCTTTGACTCTCTGGACTACTTTAGATTTATTCTACAAACAATATTGTGAGTGTCATGCCTATATTCTAATATTCCCTATGGAGCACAACAATTCATAAAACAAAAACAAAAGTAAAAATATTTACATAAAAAGAAAGTGTTATAAAATATTTATTTAGGTGTCTCTAAGTTTTAAATTTAAAAGAGAGTAAAAAATGTTTTAATGAAATGATTAGTGAAAAATACATGCTTAAGCAAAATACAAAAACTACATTAATCACAAATATGTTTATTTAAATAAATACCAAAGTTTTAGTTAGAACTAATAAAAAATGAAAAAAAAATAATAATTGATTTCTGTTTTCCTCAATGTCATAAAATAAATTTCAAGATCAAAATAAATTAAAATTATTTTTTAGCAGATTATGTTTGTAAACATTTTTTTGAAATAGTTGCTTATTAAAGAGAGTGAAAAATTTGTTTTTTGAAGAGAGTGAAAATTTTGTTTATTGAAGTGAGTGAAATATTTGTTTATTGAAGTGAGTGAAAAATTTGTTTATTGAAGTGAGTGAAAAAATTTTTAAAAAAAAATAAAATATATAGGTAATGATGAAGAACATACTAACCAGAAGGTTCCAGAAAATATCCGAGAGTTTGTACTGTAACTTTGTATGGATAATTCACTGAATAATATAACTGGTGTACTTGTCCAAAAGGTGTTTGATTTAAACTACTTTGTATTGATACAAACAATGTACATTCCTACAGAAACAAAATAAGTAATGTAAATAAACTGATATGCAGATGAATATTTTATACAATACTAATAATATAATAATGGTTTAGTTATAAAAATTTTTGAAATTAAAATAGTACAGACAAGAAATGTATAAGTTAATCTATGTAGGAGAAAACCTGTTAGGAGAAAATAGATTATGGTTGTCAAATTTTACAATGAAAATTATGGTGATTTTGCTGAAAACTTTAAAGGGAAAAAGTTATTTAAAAAATTTAACTAAATTAAACTAGGCAACAAATGTTGAGCAAACTATTTTTTACAAAAGATTTCTTTTCCATACAAAGAATTTCTTCTTCAGAAAATTATTTTTAAAAAAATAGTAACATTTATTAATAATTTTAGATGGTGTCTAAAAAGTTATAGAGTATAATTTAACTTTGCTTTAATGGTATAAATAAACAGTAACAAAAGCTGATTAAAAACAATATATTCATCAGATTTTAAAGTTCTGTAGCTCAAAAGAAACAGAGATTAAGTTCACCATCATACCACCACAAATGCATATTTATTATTTGAATTTCTAATAAAAATAGTTATCAATATAAGAGTAATACAAAAAATGCTTCATTTATCAATTCTCATTTTTCATGCACAATTTGGAAGAAGTTAATTTATTGCAAAATAAAATAGAACAAAAAAATAGCAATTAATTAATTAAGAAATTAAAATTAAGTTAATTTCAAGAAATTACTGCAATAAATCAACATTCTCAGATTATAACTTGATAATCCAATTTCTCATATCAACAATCTGGTACATAGTAATCTCAAAAATAATTGTTCAAAATCTGGGATAAAAATTCCAAAATTTATTTTTAGTTATTTAAATACAACAAGAATTGTTGCATTAATTTTTTGTGATTAATTTGAATACATAACTAAGTGAAAAGCAGACCTAAAACTAAATACTAGCTATATAACACATTAAAATAATTAAAACAATGAATTATCAAAACTTGTTGCAAATATGTCATACAATGATTATAATTCAACTCTTACATCATTCATTGCCACACTGTGGGAGAACCCATCAGCAGTCAGTCTAATTGGCTCTTGTGGATTATCAATATCTACAACGTACCTAGAAACAGAAAAGCATACAAAATTATATAACAAGTCAGACTGCTATGCAATATTATAAAAAATAATAATAAATATTCAAAATAATTTCCTAAAACATTTTACAAATAGGTTAATTTAAAAATAACAGGTATTGAATTATCTGTAGAATTTCATGACATAGCCAGTATCTACTATGTATATGGTGCCAAATGAAAAGTGTGTATATGAAATGTGGGGTCTAATCAAATGCTGTATTAAATAGGAATGAAAAAAGCAAAAGGAATACAGGATGAAATAGAAAGATCACTCGAACATATAAAAGGTATATCTCCTGCCTTCACCAAAAGATAAAGAATTCTCTTCAGGTCAAAATGTCAATCTTGATGAATTAAGAGGTAGACTTTTTTATAGGGTTATTAATTGGTACAGACAAAATTTAAATTTACAAAATCAGAAAAAATATGTACTTCCTCTGAATAAACGATCATACCTTTATTATGGATTTAGATTTCTAACCTACAAAATAAGTGGAGAGCATGCACCTGCAATCTAAAAATTATGATCTCAATACAGTTTAAACAAGAATTATTAACAGAATTGTTGAAATATTTTTACCCAATTTAGTTCAGATGTTTAAATACAATTCTTGCCCTAACTATTTTTTGTACTTTAATATTTTGAATAAATATATACTTAAAAAAGATAATAAAACATAGACTCACTAGAAGCTTCAATTGATTTAAAATAAAACGGAATTATAAACATGAAGTTTTTTTTTTTTAATTATATCATTTTAGTTCAAAAAAGCACCAGTTTCACAAATAACATAAGTTCCACATTACAACAACTAAATAAAATATTGATATATTTAAACATCAAAACACATAAACATTAAAAATAAACTAACACAAAATAAATCGTATTAGTTGATTAAACATAAAAAAAATAGCAACAAAAACAATTTGCTCACTTACAGATGCCTTTCAAGGGGTGTATCTTTCAAAGCAATAAAATAAACTAATCTTTTCTTCTCATTTACCCAAAACTGGAAAAGAAAAACAAATTAATTTATAATGAGTCAACTTTTTTTTTTTTTTTTTTTTTTTTTTTTTTTTTTTTTTTTNTTTTTTTTTTTTTTTTTTTTTTACAAATCAGCAAGGTTGGATACTTGACGCTTTTTATTTTGTTGAAATTTGCAGAATGCATTTATGCAAATTTATTAAATAATGTTTTTCCTTATTTTATTACAACATTTTTTTGGGTTCAAAATTGAAAGGGATTAAAAAATCAATCAAAATTCTAGGAAGTAATAACCATCAGAATCTACTTATGACAACAGTTAACTCCAAAGGTATTTAAGTACAAATACATACGAAAGAGAAGTAACTAAAGCTTCATACTGTATTATCCCAAATCAAAAAGACTAATAATTCTAAAGTTATAAAATGTTTTATGCAGATAGTACTCATGCCTATTTTCAAATGACATTACAGACACACATAGCATAGGATTCTATGAATTGTTTTACTTTAAATCAAATCAGACAAAAACCAAGTAAATAGGAGTGAGAGTTTAAAGATTATGAGAGTTTCAAGAATGAAAAAAGTAAATTTTGACTTACAACTTGTCACACGTACTTTATAATAACTTTATACATAGTTATTGATATTTCAGTCCTATCAATTTGGGTATGATTTCATTCTATTCCGTTTAAAAAAATAATGGCAAACATACCAAAAGGGTAAGTTTAGTCTGCTTTCAACTCCTCTGGCTAAATCAATTCAAGATGGTTACTAAAGCTTACCTTGAGTGAAAGGCAAACATCAGATATGTAAAGCTGCATAATATAAAAGTTGAATAATTTACATTACATAGTTGAATAATTTACATTATATAGTTGAATAATTTACATTATATAGTTGAATAATTTACATTATATAATTTATATTATATTTACATTCCATAGATCTATGAATTGGTTTTGTTTTCATTATACCTAAGACATTTCTTCCAGAAAATGTTTTTATTTCATTTTTGGCAAAGACAGTTAATGTTCTTGAAACTTGTATAAAATTACAGTTTGCAAGTTTAAGATTCTCATTAGTATATATCCACTTGAATATATACTTTTGGGATTCACTGTTGACAAGTGTAGATTTTGGTAGTAAAAATCTAACAAAAAAGCCTTATTTTAAAGTATTTTAATGTTTTATGCCAAAAGTCAGTCATTATTTATAGCCTAATAACTGCAGAAGTATAGAACACAGCACTCAGTGTTAATGCCAGAGTTCACCAATGACAAGAAATTAAACTATATGTAAATCTATGTGTGTTTTTGTAAAAATAAATATAAGATAGATTTTGTTTTACCCCCGAATTTTAAGAAAAAATATTTTTCGCAAAAATGATTGGGGAAAAAAAAACATATTAGACATATGTTTTTTTTTCCCCAATCATTTTTGCGTATTTTTTTTCCCCAATCATTTTTGCGTATATATTTTACAAAATACATATATATATTTTACAAAAAATATTTTAACCTTTTACATGAAGCTACATTTATTTTCATATCATAAATATTTCAACAAATTTAAAGAAGTCAAATATCCAACTTTTCCTTAATTTTAAAAAAAATCTTAAAAACTGGTAAAAATTTTTTAAGGAAAGCATTCATTTTCACTATAAAAACAATAATTTTCAGTAAGCAGGGATGAGATTAGCCAAAAGGCAAAAAAGCTGAATTTCCACGATAGTACACTTTAATAATAAATTCCAGGCAGTTTAAGGTAATAAATAATGTGTTGACATACAATTGTGTACTAATCTATTATTATATAAATGATTACATTGATACTTAACATTTAGTGAAATCAAAAATTACCAATTGAAAAAATAAAGCTGGAAATTATATTTTCCCTCAGTTCACATAAGAGACAATTATTACTTGAAAAACTACCTCGTTTAGCAAATTAAAACAACTGAGAATATACTAATATTTCATTTCTTTTAATAAATACTGTTTTGTGATTTATAGTAAATATATCAGTAATATTACTTTTTAAATTATATTGAAAACAAAAACTCTAACAATGGACCGAATCATTAAGTTCATATCATAGACTAATCTAAGTAGAGCCCTCTTAAACATATCAATAATAGTGAAGTAGAAATATATAGTAACTCCTTAACATACAAAAATTGCTATTTTAGTGTGAAAAATGAAATGACAATCAGCAACTGTTTATTGTTTGTCATTTGATAAGAATTTTGCATTTTATAGCATAAATAACAGCAATTATAAATAAAATTTTGATGATGAGTTAATTACTCTTTTTCCAAATAAAAAATTAATTAATTAATTAAATCCCTTTTTAAGTGATTGCTTTTGTTTGCTATATCTTTTATGTTTGCTATATTTAGTCGTTAGTCCATCTTCAAACATCTTGTGACAAATCCTATTTTTTCTTCTTTGCAAGCACAGAATGTAAGTTACATAAGAATACAAATCACGATTCATAATTTTTAGATAGCGTAAATACGAATAATGATGCGTAATTTTTAGATTGCATAAATAAGAATTATGATGCATAATTTTTAGAGTGCGTGAATGTGAATCCCAATGCCTTATTTTAAAATCACGTATAAATACGAAAATAAATGGTTGATATTATAGACAGCATGAACAAATCAAGACATTGAATTTTAAACTTGAGTGAATAAGAATCGCTACATAGGTCTTTTAAAAAGGCGTAAATACGAATCACAATATCGGATTTTTAAATCTCGTAAATAAGAATCGCAACGTACAATATTCATATCGTGTGAATAAAAATCGCAGCACGCAAATATGAAAAGCTATGTTTGATATTAAAATCGTATGAATAAGAATCGAGATATTAGCAGATTCCAGGCTTGGGAC